TTAAAAAATATATATTTGTAATTGTTTTTTTTTTTTTAATTACTAAACAGAATTTAAATTAATTACAACAGAATCCAATAAGAATGCACATCAGTTTGCATATTGGACATGGAAATCGATTACTATATACGCCAAAGACAATCCTCATCTATATATAATTGCCCACACGCATCGATTCATCGATTGGCTTTACTATTATTCCTTCGCTTTTATTATAAGAATGCTTTTGCATTTGGTAATCTTAATGTAAAGTCGCATCTAAAATTGGCAAAAATTATATATGTATAAACTCCAAACTTTCTATGGCTATAAAATTTGTGTGTTTGCTTTTGTCTATGTATATGAATGTGTGTATAAATGTGTGTGTGTATCGCAGGCTAATATAATTTACAGAAAGTACAAATTTCACATATTATCGATACGATTTGTGAGCTATATATGCAAGTTATATGTATGTTTATATATACATATATGTATGTATATATCTATATTTGTATATGCTAAGATTGCTACAAGTTTAGTTTGGAGTTGGGCATTTTAATCGATTGACGCTTTTGCCGCTAATACATCTCATTCTCATCCCAGTCGACGGACTGCAGAACGAGCTTATCCAGTTCCTTAGAATCGCCGTTGCTGCTGTTGCGCCGTCGACGCTTGCGCTGCAGATGGGCCCACTTGCGGTTCAGCTGCGCCATCTGCGGCGTCGCAAACATGGCCGCCGCAGCGGCACTGAGCTTTGTGGGCGTAATGGCATTGGACTTGGGCGTGCCTGGGCTCATGCTGAACAGCTCGCGATTCCCAAAACGGAATCGGCGCGGCGGTGGCAATGGTGGTGCAGAGGCGGTAGCTAGCGCTAGCTGMGGCGTGTCATAGGGCGGCGGCGGCGTAATCATGGCCAGCGATGAGGTGTCCACATCGCCGTCATCCAAGTCATCCTCGTCCTCGTCGTCGTCGTCGCCATCATCGCCATCATAGGGTGGCATATGGAATGTCGCATCCGAGTGGGCATGCCGAAAACGTGCGGGGCGCGGCTCGTACAGCTCGTATGAGGGCGAACGGGGCATCAGCATGAAATGGGCGGCCGTTGGATCTGTGGGCGATTGCGGCTGTATGGGCGTGACTGGCATAGACTTGGCTAACTGTTTGCTGCTGGCCAGCTGATGTTGTTGTTGTTGCTGCTGCTGCTGCGGATGATGCTCTTGTTGTTGTTGATGGTGCATTGGTTGTGTGGGCGTTGGCGTTGGTGTGGGCGTAGGCGTGGGCGTGGGCAACGCCTGGATGAGTGGCATCGATTTGGTGTTACATATCAATCAATCACGGTAAATGTAGCTGCAGTTCTTGGGGCTCTCCTGCGGACTGGGACTGCTCGATGGGGGAGCTGGACTGGAACTGCTGTTCGACATTACGGGCGATGAGCCGGAGCTGGAGTGCGGCTGCTGTTGTTGTTGCTGCTGCTGCTGCGGGCTATTTGAACGGTGCTGAGTTACTGCAATATCAGAAACGAACAAAACGAAAAAAAACAAGAAATAGAAAGGAACAGCAGGTCAATTGAGTTCATTGGTCAGGTGTTGAGAGTGCTTATGCAAAGTTAATACACACACACACGCTTGCACACACACATATATAGACAGACACATGAGCAAGTACATGTTGCAACAACACAAATAGAGATATATTCAAGGCAAATAAGTCTACATAAATACATAGAAAAATACATATTTACTGCGAATACTGTTGACATATTTTTTTTTTTTTTTCTCAAATCTATTTTAAGTACTTTTTACATAACATTGAGTCTGTTGCAACATGCACAAATATACAGACACGCACACACATACACACTTAGATAATAAATTAATAATAAGAATATATATGTATTATAAATACATAGAAATAAATGAAAAATAAAAAAGTTATATACAGTCACTTAATATTTAGTTCATTTTTAGTTTTTAACAATTTTTGTGTATTTATATTTTTAAGGAAAATAACAAATATTATGTTTAAAAAAAGTTACTAAATAAACTATTGTTTATAAAAAAATTTGGCATTTAAAATGTGTAATAACAAAACAAACTATTACTTAAATCAAAAATTAATTTTGTTCATCAATACATAGAGAGAGACAGCAAAACAGACAGAAAAAGTGAAAGAGAGAGAGAGAGAGTTACATATAGAGACAGAGAGATATTGACAGTTTAGAAGTTATGAAGGATATTGAAAATGGACGAATTCAATTCTAATTTGTTCGATTTATTACTTTAATATTCGTGTGTGTTTGTGTGTGTGTGTGCGTATTTTACGATTCGAAACTGAAAACAGTAAAGTGGAACAGAAAAACTTACCAATACCATGACGGGGCGGCTGTCTTCTTGCGCGACCAAGACTTCTGTTTCGTGTGTTTGTGTTGCTTACAGCCTAGGAGTGGTGATATACAATCGTTTTATATTTTTTCCTTTTGTATTGTAAATTGTATTTCTTACGAAAGAAAACTTGAGAAACTTGCACTTTACTCTTAGTGAAATCGAAATTAAAATTTAAAAAGAAGAAATGTGTTATTTGATTTGGCTAACGAAAATAAAACAAAATGCTTCAAAGATCGAAATCAAATAGCATCAAGCAGTTAAGATTCAATGCTCAGTTCTTATATCAGGTCAAATGACACAACTTAGAAAATTTTTGAATGTTTTTAAGGCTTCTGATCTTTGATTTACTTGACGTATAACCTAAATAAAAGTTCATATGTAATTGTAATTTGCAAGCAATAAACTGAAAAAATTTTATAGCATTACATTGAGTGAGTATTACGAGTAGTTCTATGTTTCTGTGTGGGTAATTGTATTAGATGGTATATTAGAAGTATTACAAATACATTTATCATAATCATATTGTGAATATTTACGTATCTAGATTCAAATGCACACACATTCTTTGGCTAATTGGTTTATCGTTTTGGATCGAGTGTAGTTTATCGCTAATACGCAAAGTGCTGGAACGCCCATGCAGAAGAGGAGTTCGAGGGTTGCCAGATTAGGCATGTGTGGATAGGGATTGGGTTACAGAGCGAGAGAGAGAGAGAGACAGAGAGAGCACAACAGGCATACACAGCTCAAACACGCAGAGACGCAGGCATACGAAAGATCGATAATCGATCATCGATATATGGTCGATCGATTAACGATTTCACAGAAATTGTAACCCTTCCGCTGGCAAATGGCAACGAAGCGTCGAGCTGGGCGCGGGCTGGCTGACTGACTGGGCGAGGTCTATGAGCTGGTTCAGAATTTCTTGTTTTTGTCTGAGATAAGTACAATTTAATGTTTCGCGGTCTGTTTCAAAAATCAAAAAATGAAGACATTGCATTCCATAACGTAATTTACAGTTTACTCATGAGAAAGAATCAAATTTCGATTAAACTGTGCTGGGTGTATAAGATATAAGTTGAAATAGAGAAAAAGAGAAGATTTAGAGGTGATCAAACCGAATTGCAGAGAAAATCATTCAACAAAATTTGGAGCAAAATCTGTTTTTGCAAATTACTTTTGAGTTTCGAATTTCAGTTGATCTCGCAATCGAGGGTATCCACACTGCAGCTATTGAGTAAATTTTGTCAGCCGTATCAATAAACAAATAAAAAATATATTAAATTAAAATTTATAACGAAAGACAATAAATAATAAGATAAATTCAACAATTTCCAATAATTGAAAACAAAGCAAAAGTTAACTAAAATTTGCTTTACTTATTCTTGAGTATTTACCATATTTTGGGTAATTAGTCCCTGACTGGTTTCAGCCGCCCCACTCCCGTCTCAAAGGTAAACCTAATGAAAAAGGGAAGAAGAAGAAAAGATAGATAGAGTTTTGGTATTTTGGTTGCTTGGTGTTGTCCACATTTGACAGTTGATCGGCCATCAGCCATCATCGTTAGATAGCCTCAGCGTGTTAAGTATTTTTTGTATGTGGAAAAGTAGTTCAGCAATAGAGTTTAGAGCTTAGAGTAGAATATGTCTTAGAGCAGAAAAGATTCAACTATACAAAATGCTTAGAGAGACGCCTGCAAAAGAATCGCAATCGCCCATGTCGATAGATTGGTGTATTTCTATAACGTCAGCGAAATCAAACAATAATTCGTACAATAAACAAACCCCAGACAACTTTAAGCTGAGAATCAGAATTATGGAACAATGTACATGATTTATATATGTAGTATATGGAGAGAGAATATGAACATACGTTTGATATTCATGGGCATGCAAATGGGCTAATGGACTCGAACCAAGTTAGATATGCACAACTAGATACATATATGTATATAAATATCTAAATGAATGGGATGATTGTGTTCGATTTATATTTGAGTTATACTATTTTATTATTCTATTATTAGAATATATGGTTTTGCTTACACAAAATATAAAATTAAAAATATTTAAAATATCAAACAATGATAATACGATCGGAAATGAAATAATTGCATCAAATAGCTTAACATTCTATAAAGATTTATATGAAGTAAAATTAACGAGTAAATTAAACATTTTTTATATATTCTTTACATATGTATATAGTATATAGAAAGGAAAGAAACTTTTTTATA